TATCGGAACCAGATGCTTGTTTTGTGTTATATGTGTCTAAGTTACAAAACCACACATGATACGTGATAAAAGTTCTATTTACGAAAAGTCATTTGTGGATTATGTAAAAGAGACGTCCATCTTTGTGACATTCTGAGTCTGCATGAACCACGGAAGTGTCTTGCGTGAGGCAGACACTTCATCGACGGCAGGAAAACAAAAGACAGGCAACTCTTCCCAGGAGACCAACTTAGCAGCTTTTAAGTGCGGGAGCTGCGAACGAAGTGGGGTGGGGGGTTTAGGGTGAAGGGAACAGCACTTGTTCTACAAGCTTCTGAAACAATAGCGTCTCAGCTGATAAATGTCACGAAGGAGGTAAAATAAATTGATGTTTGCGAACAGGGAAATTAGTTCCCTCTTGCGGACAGTCAAGAGAACTGAACGCTCGACTAAGGGGTAGGGGTAACCCGTCCCTTTGTGCGCTGAAGAAGTGGCTGGCTGTGGAGGCTAAAGCAGTCGTGATACGGAAGGGAGAACGCTTGGATCCGAGGCAGTACTGGACGGTAAATAAATTGGACGCTGATTTGTAAACACTTTAAAAGTCACCCTCGGAGATGGAAATTGCCTGGTCCGGTGAGAGATTTATCCCAAGCGGTATTTGTTTCTTTCTTTCTGAGATGTATGCCTACATAGGCGATACTCTTAAGAAATGACTGTCTTCTGGGTTGCAGCGCCGTGTAGTCTGATAGAAGTTTAGCAACGTTTCAGATGTCCTTGCTGCCTCCATCATCACGGAGATGAGAGGTTGGTAAACTTGTACCAGACTGCACGGTGATATAACCCAGAAGACAGCCATCTTCTTAATCACCGCCGTGGAAACCTCAAATTCTACGTTACTCTTTAGTTTAAATATGTATTAAGTACAAAAGATCGTCATATGAACCTCATCTCAGTTGTCTGTAACATGTTTATGCTTCTCGCCATCATATGTTAAGTCTGTTTCAAATGTAGTCTGATTTAAAACGTCGCCGAATCGTACAGATTTAAGAATGTATTTATGCATGTATCATCCTGATGAGTATGTTTTATCGTTACAGAGATATGAGGCATTTTTATTTTATGGATTGTATTCATTTCACGAGATAAGATATTAAGCAGTCTAAAACTATAGGTGTAAATGCATAACAAATACGGTGTGGGCTGAAGTCAGTAGATACAACAGAGTTTGCAGTGGCGGACCCTTGTAAGCAGATTATAAACATTCGGGTTCTATAAAAAGTAGGGAATATCTTGACCAGCTAAGTGGCTATCAGCTTCTCAAGGACTCTTCTTCGTGCAGTTGACATTACAGTGCATTTTTATATTAACAATTTAAAGCTATTTTTATAACTTACTATTAAATTCCTAGTGGCTTAATGATGTGAACTGGATTCTGTCAGGTGTTGCGTTTGTGTGGACACTGTAATGAACTTTCGTGGTCAGTGGTAAATGAGGAATTTATTGACCTGTTGCGTGATTACTAGCTCAAGAAAGAATCTGATTTATGGAGTTATAACTTTTTTGTTGTTGTTTCAAGTCGGTTTGAATCAAATTTCCAAAGTATATATTTCTTTATGAATGAATTATATTAATATACACAAATTGAAGTTATCAGTGAAATGTGATTTTACATGTGAAATACGGAAACCCGGTGAAGTTATGTAGATGGTCTCTTGAGAGCCTCAATAATTCTCTCGAACTGAAGAAATTTGATTACGGATATCAGACTTTGCTGAACTCCGTTAGATTGTGTATGATTAAAAACTAATTTTGAGGCTAAGGACTCGTATGCATAGGCGACATGGGATTGGACTGGTGACATATGAATCCTTATAAACAGTGAAGTAACAACGTGTTTTTAATAATTCAGGATGAAGGAGGCATCGGGTCTTCATGAAATGCATGAACTGTTTTGCGTGTTGTGTTTCGTTGAAAACAGAAATGTTAGAAGACAAAAAAGCTGATCGGGGAAAATATATATGGCACCAGGACAGAAGGATATAAATTGTAAAATTAATAGTGATTACGACGATGACATTAAGTAGAGATTAATTTTATGAATTATTTAGGAATGTCTCATATATTTTTATAGTATCTGAGAACCATTCGATAAAGAAAGAAAGAAAGAAAGAAAGAAAGAAAGGTGTTTTACTCATCGACATAAAATTTTCATTAAATCACCGGGTTTTTCTTAACTACATTGCCATATTGTATCAGCCACCAATATCGTATTACATTACGAGAAGAATAAAAGATGAAATTTGACAAGTTATTAAAATTCGATTAAGAGCTTCCATTGTCTCTAATTGAATTTACGTAAAACATTCTCGTCTCTGTGATACTGGCTATGATATGTCTTATTGACTTTATCTATATGTAACTTTAGAAAGTTCCTGCTTTGATCTGGTATGTTCAAGACGAAAAAAAGAGATTGGGAGAATTTTGACGTCTGCTTCTGCAACAAGTGGCTGTTGAATTGTAACGGTTTCATATTCTGGCACTTTTAAAACTTCTTCCTCTTAGAACAGAAACTTGCAGCGTACGTAGTGACCCGGACGTACCTGCAGAGCAGTGTGGCAGCCTTATAACATGGAGACAAAAAATAACGGAGAAAGACGGTCTTCTTAAAAGGGAAGTTGAAATTGTTAGGGACTTTAATTAAACATCTGAGAACAGAAGGCTCATTCCACTTGTCGAGGTTCAAGCTTCTCGTATTTTAAACCACTACCGAATCACAATATTATCTTTGATTAGCGTTACAGAATGGAAGTATTGACGGGGAAAAGAAAATGGAACAATCACAGGAAAATCTGATTAAACCAGATGAGGAAATTCTTTCTTACCTCTCTCACTAGTGCCGAAGAAACTTATGTAATATAATTTAACAGGAAGAACGGTGCGAAAATTCCATAGTGGATACGACAGAAGTTGAATAAATTGGTCTTTCTTCAAATTAGTTATGGCATTACTCACAGGCTTGCGTTATAATCGTGGGTTCAAATCCTAGTTAGGACACCGGCTACCCTAGTCGATATTTTTTTCAGTCCCTCCACATAAGTTTTAGAATACTACCTTAAAATAGGCCATGATTATCTCAATCCACATTATTTCCAATTAATGATTTAAAATCACCCTTAAAATCGATATGCGTAATATAATCCTTGCAGTTGAAGAACATCGTAAAATAAACAAGGCATGAATAAGATTGTTAATTATGATGTTCGTGCCGTAGGTACCAACGTTTCGAAGAGACGTACTGCCTCTATCCTCAGGGTTAAGGATGAAAACAGTATGGTTTCGGAAACGTTTGTGTCTATGTACGAATCTACACTGCGTTATGATACCTACAAAGTGTAAACAATACAAGGTGAGTCACTTCTACATTTGTTGTTGAAGTTTCTTATGATATTAAATTTTAAGGCACTTGCAAATGTCACTATTACTGAAGAACGCTTTTTTTTAACAGTTAGTAATTTCACTGAGCGTTTGTTACGTTTATCCCGCTCAGAACAACACAGAATACGTTTAAGTCAATTTAAGACGTAGATATTTCACATTGTAGAATGTTGAATTTGCACCAGAAAACAATAAGATGATGTGCTTCGCGTTTTTAGCGTGGCTGTACACTTATGGAGTCTTGTGGAATGTGGTGTGTATGCTATTAAGGTTCTTTTGACCTCATCATTGTGTTCATTTGGTGCAAAGTGCTACGAACATTCATTTACCCTTCTTCTCGCCCTCCTCATCAGCAAGGAAGTTCACTGGAGACTTGACTACACCGCTTACTAAGGGTCTAGAGCTGCAGTAATTCCAGACGCTGTATTTCTCTCCTTCATGGCGACGTTAATAGACTTCTAAAGTTTCCTTGGGCATAACGCAGCTACGTTCCACAGTGCACCTCAGTTAAGCACTCCGAGCGATAAGAGAGTTAGGAATAGCAGAAACTGCAGAAGAGTAGGATGAAAGGTCGAAACCAATAAAACAAAGTGATATTTAAAAACCGTATACATACTTGCAGCCCGCATGACTCATCTCTCAAGAACACTGACGGTTCTAATCTCTGAATTTACTGTAGGATTAGAATACATCAATAAAATACAAGCAAATCTGGAAAGTTACGGTTAATTTATCGTGACTTTTCAAAAGTAGATGTGGTACATGTGTGATCTGATGTTCTCACGGAAATATATAGGTCGATGTCCTTTTCTGGATAGCAGTATATCGTGGACTTGTGAAAAATATATAAACATATTGCCTTCATCTTGAGTCCTGAAGATGGAAGAAATTTTGTCATCCGAAACGTAAACAAGTTACAAATTCATACGGCGTCACTACGCAGTAGATAAACATCCGCAAATATTACCATGTTATACTAACGGTAGAATATTATTATAAAATAATTTACTGGAGCACAGTCTTCCTTGAGAAACTATTGTTCATTTCGCAAGATATCTCCGAGCTTCGTTGGTGACAAATCTTCTTAGGTGCAGAAGGTGAAAGGAAGTGGTCGTGATTGCCCTTTCCATAGTAATTCCCCTCTAACTGTGACGTAGATTAGGCTCGCAGATATTTTGCATCCAGTATAATTAGACGTATCTTCTTTGACTGATTAATAAATTACCCACCTTATATTTAACACATATATTCATTACCGAGTTGACAATATGTAAGTATTATTAAATAAGTGCTGTATGGAGGAGGTAGACACTCGATATGTACAGATAGTTGGTCCAGATTGCCACCTCTCGAATGTTAGACATTTGCTTAAAGCTTTACTCAGGAGCCATATTTTGAATTTTAATATATGATAAATGTTTCAACAAGATTGGTATATTATCTTAATTACTTAGTTTGTAGCAGTTCCTTGGTAAAAAAGTATCCTGTAAGGAAAAATAAATGTTGAGACTAAAATTTAAATAGTTTCAATGTGTTTGCAAATCAAAAGTGATTCTGATTTATTTTTTCCTTTCTTGTTCAAACAGGATAACGGTGAAGTCGTATGTTGAAAGGCAACCAACACCATACAGGTAAGAATGTTTAAAAAAGACTATATACATGTAATGATTCGGAATCGATTGCTAAAAAATATAATACAGAAATCCAAAAATCGATTTTTGTTAATTGTATTGGAAGGGTTCCTTTAAAATGACAAAAGATTTGCAGTTTCCACTTTTAATTCCACTTGTATGTACATTTGAGCCTAGGCACAAAACAGGTTGAGACATGCACTGAAAAAATGTTTTAATAATGAGAGAAAATACAATCCTACACAACGTTTATATGCAGTTTAAATTATTTCACAGTACATATGAATAATATTCTAAGTTTCATGGTAATTATAACTTCGTTATGATTTTTATTGTACACGGTTGAACACCGTCATATTAAAAAAACCCTGGAAATATCTCTTAAAACGATGAAGTCGAGATTTTTCAAGTTATAAAACACAGAGGGATGTTTTTAATTCATTAAATTTAACACGTTTAACCCCGAGGTCTGCCCTACAGAAATGTATTCAAATACGTCAAGACAGCTTCTTTGCATTAAATCTGTGAATACAAGGCATCGTTCCATTATGTCTTAAATCACAAATAAGATCAGAACGCAAAGAAGTAAAATAAACAAGGTGGTAAATTTACGACGTACTTGCCCCTTAGGAGTACACGCGAAGTACAGATTCGTCTTTATAATTGTATAAAGAAATTAATATCTATGGCTATGTCCTGGGTTCTGATGCATTGTTAACGTCAGCCCTGAAGATGGAAGCAATATGTTCCTCCGAAACGTTGATATATACCTACAAGTGCACAGTGCGTCACAATCCTGAAAACAAACGTCGAAATCTTCGGTGCTGTGAGAATTTCAAATCTCACAGGTGAAATAACGATAATTCCAGTCGGAATTTGTTTTAAATATCTGTGTGTCTGAACGCTTCATATATTATAATGAGGGGTTTTATTATTTGAAATTGTAAATGATTTTAGGGGTTCTCTAATCAAGGGTGGATAGACGCGTCATGTAACGAAGCATAAGGATGTTGAGGATTTTTTACAAAATATTTGTTCTGAAATTTTGAGGGGAATAGGTCACTTTGGAGACGTATACCAAAATGGGGAAAAATATTTAAATCTATTTTTTTTTTTGGATAAAATACTGTGAGGATGCGGGCTGTAATCAAGAGGCTGTGATTAGAGTCAAGTGGCGGGTTTTTGTAAACGCGATAGTCAACAATCCGGTTCCATAAATGGCGTACAATATCGATACCAGCCGAGTTTTTTAGAATCCCAATAAGTGATTTATTCCATGGATTTATTCATCTATCCATATATTTACGTCGACACCGTATGTCGTAATTTAACGTTCCTAATTTACACGAAGTATTCATAAACGGATCGATATGATATTCGCGAGGTATATTTATGCAATGAAATAAACTTACCCCTATGTCTAAGCACCATGGAGGCAGACTATGAAAGTGGATATAAAACTCCACTTACAATCTCTGTTATACTTTTATGCTGTTTTAACACACGGTAAACAACGTTGCCAACTTAATAGGATATTTTTTGTTTAGGCCAAAAAGGGCTGGACATGATTTTGTGATAAATGCGACCGAGAATCGAATTCTTAACTTCAAGTCTCCAATGAATACTGTGGTGTCTGACCTGCTCCACTTCAGATTGTACTCGGAGGACATAAAAAGGGTTTAATTGGATATGGGAAACATATGCAGTACAAACAGAGCGAAAATGGAGTTGTAATCGAGTTAGCGTGCAGGGCTGCAAGAATTTACAATTATGAACATAAATATGTCGTCTAAATTCCGTATTATTACGTGTTATGTAATTGTAAACTTCAGTTTACAGTAACACACACAGAGAGACAATTTTTTTTCATTCACAGGCAGAACTTTGTTGAATGATGTTGTAAGGAAAGTGTCAAAAGCTAATTCTTTGTCGACAAATACTTGAAAAGCTATCATGATATATATAGTACATTTCTTCGGTTCTTAAAAATCCGGCGATCGAATCTAAGCCCGAAGATATCGACTGTTGTAACTGCAATGTAAAGTTGTTCTTACGTCTAAAAAAATAGCCTTGAATTAATGTTTTGTAGAGGGTAACGATTGCAGACCTGGACACCAGATAAAGGCCAGTTGTCAGCTTGATGCCCCAATCGCATTACACTTACGGGAAATTGAACCCAATACCTTTTAGGTAGGAGGTAGGCTGAGTCACAGACTCGGTGTGCATGTGATGGCAAATATTTGAAACCCTGACCCTGTTTGTGGTAGAACCCCGGCCGTGAAAACTGCAAGAATTCAGTTTATCAACTGAGCTATCCTCAAATTTAGTTCCCATAACGAAGTCTTACGTGTTTAAGTGTGGTGCATTGGTTATTCATCTGTCATCTTGTGTCTGTTAATGAATGGGGTAATGTATGTCAAGCTGGAGACAACGCAGTCCCGAGGTGTTGACATTAGTTACGCAACAAGGAGCCTCCATCGATAGAAAACATTCTGAAAAGTGTTTCAGTGTCTTTTCGTGAAAGGTTACTTACACTATATAAGCATCTGGAAGTAGAGGAATCTTTCTTTCAAAAGTTGAACATCCACTCAACATTCTCGTTCCCTTTCGTTTATCAAAATAACATTTTGTCATGGTAGTTCTCCTTCACAGTGGTACCACTGTAGTTAATTTCTGCACAGAGACTCAACACAAGCCGGTAGGAGCTCGTTCTTTTTAAAAGGTCCTAAGATAATATTGTTTGCTTTTAAAACATTCTTTGTCCTTTATTTCTGTTCTCCTTTTACGTATTCGTTTACCCACTTCACTTCTAAAGAATGTCGCTCCTTTTCGTTATCTCATAGCTATCCTCCAAACCCCCCCCCCCCCCCCCCCCCAGTTCCCCGTGAGTGACCTCCCCTCTGTTTAGCTCAAGGAATTCCATTATGCGAAGTTTCCCTAGTCCGCTAAACCAAGATACGTTCAATGTTTGCGCATGGGGGGCAATGGGATGCGAAAAGCCATGCTACACGCTGCTACATTGGTCCAATCTGAGCTGATTCCTGCCCTCCTGCCAAGTACGTCATTAAACGTGACAGGGTCTCCAATATTATGTCATAAATAAAATATTTTTTCGTGTTATGTGCGAAATATTATGATGCCTGTCAATGATCTTTGTTGTCGCGTCTTAATATTTATTTTTTCTTTCAGGCATTAATTGGTCCAATACAATAATCTAAAAATTATGTTTTTAATACAACTAACTCAGTTCAAAATTAACACGAACATTTTATTAACGCCTTGAAGCCGAAGTTCGTCTAAATCATAATGAAGAATTTAGTTCGTACCGCATAGAAAACACAAAGCTACACCGTTATGAAGATCAACTGGTAAATGCTGTTTAAGAAAATATTCGTGCTTTATTCTAAGAATCATACGAAACCATGAAGTGTGTTGTATGGGCAAAATACAAAATCATTTATTATTAAAGCAGTTGGTACACATACTTATAGCTGGAATTTTACGTGTTAAAAATAAATGGAACGTTGCAGATAAACACTTAGCTCGCCTGCTTCGTATTCGGGAAGTTCCAAATTTATATCGCGATCAGGTGTTCGTCTTCTATGATTGACGCGTTTCGTGGTTTATCTCAGTCCCTCCAGGCAAATACCGGGACAGTGCCTCATATTAGTTCACGACGGGTTCCTTCCACGTATTTTTAAATTCATTATTCGTTAATCGTCCTATCAAATGACTACATAGTATGAGCTCATTAAAATCGTTAAATAAACCATAATAATTTGTTTAGGGAAGAAAATTCCTGGTTTAACGAAACGAATTAATTACTTATGGTCGTACATTTTGCAATTATTGGCTAAACGAAATTGTTTTACAATGTTCTTGTCTAGAAATACGCGTTTTAGCTGATTAATTATTACGTTAATTGATGCTGTTTAAGTTATATGTTTTATGTAGGACGGTTTGTGAGGAGTTAGGTGGTTAAGTGATCACACAATGCTATTAAATATTGCAATTCACGTCCGGAAAAATGGTAAGTTTATTTATCGTGTTTGTAACTGAAAGTCTTGGTTGTTGCATTTAATTCGAAAGAATTCTGAGTAAAAATTATTAAGACTTGCTACTACATTAACGTCGCTGGCCGCATCCTACCTTCTGGCTCTACTTTGTACAACCCCAATATGGACGTGCTTATGAGTGAAGTATTAATGAACTCGAGACGATTGTACTGATGTTTTAATGGCCTTGGGTTCTTGTTTAATCACCCCCGGTATGTCCGTGTTTATTTTTTTTACTCAATTAGACCGTAACATTATTTCATTGTCACACCCGTTGAAAATGTTGATAAGCACTGGTATAATTAAATCAAATTCGGAAATCGGTTTGATTGCCACTTCAGTTTCTTGACGCCTGGACCTGGCAGGTGAAAACTGCAATGCGGCCATCATGTAGCTTTGTTTGCAGTTTCTGGGACATTACCCAGCGCTGTTGACACAAGGTAGGTTATACGCCCCGCAACGCAATGTTCCAAGGCGTATTCCAATATATGTCGTGTATAACGGGTCATGTCGTGTATACACAGGACATGTTTATTACATTATATTCAGTTTCCCTGTGTAGTATTACAGTCTAATTTGGTCCAGACGTATTTATTTTGCGGCAAAATGAAGGTCGAATAGAATATTTGGACCAAAATTAAAAATATTCCTAATCGTTTTCAAATTGACGAAATTTTATTAGTTTTTTTTAAAGAAATATCTAAGCACTGCTTGTTATAGTGTTCTGGGATATGACACCATTTCATCTTTCGTGTGGTACTAGTATATTAGAGGAATGTAATACTTCTATTTTTAGGGTTTAGGAAAATGTGTTTTTGCAACGTTTACAGACGTGACAGGATTCTGAAGATGGAAGCATTATGAAATTTTTTGCCCCGTTATATACTTCTCGTCCAGAACCTGTCGTATATAACTTCATTTGAGAAATTCATCTAGTTTTATACA